CTACCAGCGTTCCATTTACTGGTCATAATTCAGAGCTTTATCTATATCGTATGCTAGCAGAAGCCTCACTAAATCCACTAACAATTCACTAAGCAATATATAATACAGGGCTACTTAATCCAAGTGCCTCGATCTCTGTCACTAAATCCAACACTACCGCTTTATACTTGGAAACTGCTCGTGGACGATAAACAGAATGAAATGATTCGAAAAAAGGCATTTTAGTAACCCATATGTCGGAGTTAATACAGGAAAATCATTTAGATTTTGAACGTTGTATACTGTGGTAATCTATTGTAAAATAGCTGATTTTGTATTTTGTGCATGTGTATGTATGTATGTGTGCGAGCCAAATTGAGACCTTTTGAGAGACGATTGGTTGGGCTTTTTCTTCTAAATTAACAGTAAAATTCAATATTTTCAACTTCCTGCAAGGTAAGTTATAGTAGTCGCAAAAAAATCGAAAATGAGCATTATTATATATATTTACGTTTCAGAGGTTTCTGAATATTCTGGCATATCTTAGAAAAAATTAAACAAGTCTATATAATAAATCCAGATGAATTGCAATAACTATTTCAAAGAACAAAAGACAAAGATACTGAAGCGTTATTATGATGAGTTATCACAAGTTATTATGATGAGTTATCACAAGATGAAAAAATTTTAGGCCCGAAATCTTATTTTAATGTATACTATTACTGTTTGGATATATTAATTTCACAAACCAAACAAAGATTTTAAAAACTTTGCGACGTAAATGGTAACATTTGTCTTTTTGAAATGGAGAATTAATAAACGTTTCCGGAAATCTGTCGACTGAATTACTGTAAAGAAATACTATAAAAATATCTCATAAGATCATGACCATTTGATGGCTCTAAAAATAAGTTTGAATTCAAAAATCTAAGAAATGTGATGGATGAATCCAGTTAAAATCGCAACTGCTAGAAGAAATTTTTAAAATTGAAACTAATTAAAAATTACGTAAAAACTTTAGGACAGGAATGTCTACCAGACCTGTACGTTCCTAGTGACAGAATCTTTATCAAATTTAAAGATCATTAAATAATTTAATTTTTCAAAAAAATCAAAGAAAGTGAATATATACCTGGAATCATTTGTGAAAAATTCAGAAAATAAGAGAAAATTAGATACATAAATAATAAGAATGATAAATAGATATTCTTTTAATTTAATTAATTTTTATATTTTGTAAAAAAAAAAAAATTGAGGGGATGAATTTCTGAACAAATGTTGATACGAGGTCATGCCAAGGCAAGCTGCGCCCCTGAGAACTGATTAAATTTTTGGGAAGGCAGGTCTAGTGGTTATGGTCTCTCAATAAAAATAAGTTAAAAAATTGTCGTTTGGCGGTCAAAAATGTTTATTGGATATATGTACATCAGATCAAATTATCAGATATATTATAGAGATTTTAATAACGTGTGCACATTTTGTGTAAATTTTTTGGATTACGTATCAAGATTTTTGATTACGGTACGGGAAGTTCCAGCAATTTGCCTTAAAGCACAATGCTAAGCACCCCACTAATTGTCCACGATTTTGCCTAAGTAAAATCCTAAACCGATTTTGAAAATTTAAAACATTTTCTCGAAATTAATTGTTAAGAAAAATGTCTTTGTGACTTTGAAAACACCTTGCATGATGGAGTTCATGATATCAACAAATATTCTACTAAAATCTACAAAAAATGGTTGTAAATTAAATTTCATTAAATTTTTGAAAATGATCACCTGATCTCTGTTGACGTCCATAATTAAAGAAAATACGTTTTTAGAATATAAAGTAGAATGAAACGTGTTGATTGAATCAAATTTACGAGTAATTAGCACAATTACATTTATAAGATTGTTTAACAGTTGAAAATTCTATCAAATTAGCTAATTTTATTCTATAACATCAAGAAAATCTACATCTTAAAATATATAATAGTCATTTTGCAAACTCAGGCCTTTGTAAGCTATCTATACAATTCATATTTCGAAGTCTCTATAACTTCCACCAAACTATAAAAACTGAAATTCACGATATAAAACTTTTATAATTGTTAAAGATCAATAAATTTCAAAGACGTGCCAATGACAGTTTTGCAAATTATCTTCTACTATTTCATCTCGTAAATATACTTCTACTATTTCATCTCATGACATTCTGAAAATTATTCGGCTCATTAAACACTCAGAACGGCGTAAACGCAGCTCAACTTTAATTAACTGCCATGATAAACAGTTAAAATATGTCTGTAATTTCCAATTCAAAACCGACAGAACTAATTATAACTATATTAAAGCAAATATGGATATTCTGCCTAATTTTCCTAAATTAAACGAAATGTGGATATGAAAATTTATTAATGCTTTAAAATTTTCATCCCTCATATTATAACGAAAAAGTAAACAAGCTCGAACAATTTGTTTTTTGCTTTTGCAGTTTAATTAAATAGTTAACTAACATAAAATTACGATGAAAATTTATAAACAGAATCGTTATAAATTCGACTCATTTGTGTTTCGATAGTTCAAACGCATTTTTTTACGATTAATCAAAAACTACGCACCGAACTTTATATTCTTGAAAATTGTTCAAAATGTCTATTCAAATCTATATAGTATATTTAATAATAATGCTCTCAAATAAGATGGTATTTTATTCCTCCTGATATTTTCCACGGATATCATACTATACGATTTTTAAAATACACTTAGCTGTATATTTAACGATGAAAGGTACACAAATTCAGAAAATTTACTATATTAAATGAATAAAAATGCAACAGTGATAATTTTTTCAACAAAATCTGTAAGGAGCACTAATTTCAATTAGGTTATGTTATTTCTGGATCAACTTCTTCTGGCAAATACTTTTAGAATTGTTGATTACAGTCTCAAAATATAATTAACAAACATAAATAAATCGTCTCATCATAACCATTTTAAAAATAATCAGTGAGTCTTATGAATCACAAGCTATCATTTAATAACAAATTGAATGTCTAATCTTTGGATAAAATGTTCAAATAAGTAGTAGTCTTAACTCTCAAATATAACATCGTCGTAAAATTTAAATATTTTACCTATATAGGTTTTTGCATATATGTTACCTATTTATCAGAGATATCTTTAAATATATAGCATTGCACTATATTTCACTACAAAATGTAAAATGCTATCAGAAATAAAGGACATATAATCCTTTGCAAATTTTGTTCAATGCAATCCCTAGAGTTCCTACCAGTATTCTAAGAAAATTTGAGTAGGTATTTGCTTTTCTTATATGATCTGAATGATACAAGAAGTCAGATACAGCAGATCAAACATGATAGATATAACAATAATGTTATGTAATTAATACTTAATTTTAATTATTATCTACTAACTAGTGGTGCATGGCATGGTGCCTCAATGCAAATTGCTGAAAAATTGAAATTTAAAAAAAAAAACTTTAATTTAAATTTATGTAATGCTTAGTTATTGAGTTCTTGAAATCCGCACACACAAACACACATACAAAATATTCAAATAATCGATTTCTTACAAAATAAGGCTATGTATTTCGAATTTTTCAAGAAAAATCAAATGTTTTAAAACTTTCTAAATTCTCAAAAAGTCGATTTTATCCAAAAAATCCAAAAAAAATCGAAATGTTAATCAATTATCAAAATTTTAAAAAAATATCAAATTTATCAAAAAATTTCAAGATTATCAAAAAATTCAAATTAAAAAAAATTAACAAATTTCTTGTAATTTCAGACACATATAAGTTGTTTGTAGATTACGCTCGTCGCCCAATTTAATAAGCACTTATAAATTTACTGCATGTATTTATAATAAATAATATATTTAAAATTATTTAAAACAATTATTGATTATTTTCATTCCTCGAATGTTTAATTACGGTACGGGAAGTTCTAGTAATTTGCCATAAGCTACGATGCCATGCACCACTAGTTTCACTTTTTTTACTTCATCTCCGAAACCGCTAAGACCTGCCTTCCCAAAAAATTTATTCTTCATTTGGTCAATACAAGTAAAATGTTTTTTGAATTATTAAAATCTGACTAAAAACTGAGTTACCGATTTGGCATTTTTTGTCCCGTATATTCGAAACGACTCGACCTATATTGTCCAAAAACTAATCAGCACTCCTCATCAATAGAAATCGAAGGTTTTTTAAATCATTTAAATCGATTGAACCGTGTTCCTGAAATAGTCGATAAATATATGTATTCGAACACAGGTATGCCACAATGTTTAGAAACTCTGAAAATTTAAGATTTTTTTGCGATTACTATAACTCACCCTAAGGGAAGTTAAAAAAGAATTTAATACACAGATAAAATATTTTTTGTGGAATGCATCCAAATGTTACACTTAATATTATTCTTATGTTTATCTCAATCGAAAATGACCTATACAATTCTTAACATCGAAAAACTTGAAACAACACAGCATTACATCAAATAATTTTTTTTAAACAAGATAGCAATAATAAATGAGTTAAATCCACACGTTTAATAATAATTTAGGGAGCGTCCATTAAACTCATGAACGATTTTTTAGTGATTTTTGAAACCCGCCCTCCCCCTTGGTGATACGTCGTGATATTCAAAATTACCCCCTCTCCCCACCAAAAATTACCTGTATTTTTGATTACGTACTTTATCAAATTTACGAAAAAATCGTGATTTTTTAAAAAAATTGAAATAAGTTGATTTTTTTTTTATAAAAATCGGGTAAAAATAAATACACATGATATATTACTAGACCCCTCCCTGCCTCAAAGTGACGTTTTGTGATTTTTTGTCAAATGCTCCCTCCCCATAAAAGCCTCATGTAATTAATGGACGCCCCTTTAGAATAATCTATATTCTTCTAAGATAATATAATAACGTATGTACCATTGGCAAATATTTTTATGTGAATATTTAAACTTCAATCATATATTTAAAAAATTATTTTGTAATTAAAAAGACTTACCAAGGAATAAACGCCACTGGCGGCGGCAAGGTGTTTTGCATGGAGCAGGCCGCAGCAGTAGCGTCCGTGCAAGGAACCATAGGGATACAAAATAGCAGACTTCATGACTGCATCCTACTTTGTCACATCACAAGAATCACTGAAATAAAAGAAAAATAATTGAATACACTGAAAATTAATTCAAAATCAAAGCTATACAAGCAGTAAAATTAACATAATATTAATACAATTATAAAAGGCGAACTATCATATTTTAAAATGTGGTGATCCCTATTAGATAATAAATTCTAATAATAAAATCATTAAATATGGATGGATAATAACCATTGGGTTACCATCTAAAAATACAAAGTAAGGAGCAGTTTCAGCTTGTAGAACGTAAGGTTCTGATTGCTGTTAAGATATGGAAACAAAAAAAATGTGCTGATTGATTCGTAGAATGATCATTTTACAATAAAATGATATAATCTAAGAAAACTTATAATACTTTCAAAAATTATTAAGTTTACATTGTACAGAGCATTTTTATCAAAAATGTCTATCCTTATGAAGATATTGTATATATTTCATATTGCTTATATTAAAATTCATATCTTTATATTTATATTAGATACCTCTTTCTAAAATGTGTGAAATAACAAATGAAATTTGAATAAATTTTAAGAGAATAAGAGTTTGATAAATTCTATTCATTATTATAATTAAATTTAAAGTTTTATAAATACTAAAAATTAATTATATTAATAAAAATGGTGTTATAAATATGTATAATTATATGAATAAACAATTTTATTAAAAATTTTAAATAGGATTTGTAAATTTGTAAAATATGATTACGACAAATAAAAATTGTTAAAAAAATGTACTGAAATACTATGTTCATATACCTATATTAAGCCATGTTTTTGATAATAAAATAATAGACGTTTTGAACCCAATTCCTATTTTTTTTTTAAATTAAATTATAAAAAATATAGCTGATTTATAATAAAATAAATTTATGTTACAATAATCAAGTATATATGTATGTTAAACAAAATCGGTAAGATCATTCTACAATTTAGGAATCAGATAACCTTTTTGAAAAACATCCTTTTAAATAATTCCGTGTATTTCAACTACAAGAAACATTTTAAACGTCAATAAATATTTGTATATAAAACTTAATTTTTGATAAATTTGTAGATTTCTATATTTTATTCATTTTATTTTTGATTTCTAAGTCAACTGTAAACGATCCCAATTCTAATTCAATCTTCTGAATCAAAATATAAACTTGTGAATTAATTAATTAATATATAGAAAAACTATATATGCATAAATATGTTTGTTTTCTGAACCCATAGTTTTTCAACACGCCTAGTAGTTGTTTATAATTTTACATTAATATGTTGATAAAATATTGTAAATAAATATTTTTGTATTAGTCAAATATTTCATATAAATATGTGTTTTGCATATTACTAATTGATTAAACATAGAATTATCAAACCCATGTACATTAATATGATAGAACTGTTCAAACACAAAGAATTCGTGTATATTTATAGATAGTTATTATTCGGGATTATATACAGTTCATTTCATGATTGAATAATAAAATATAATACCAGTATACCTATTCCAAATCCCAGGTATTAATATGCCGATAAATTATTTTTTTCCGTCGGTCCTATAAATTTATTGCATTTGTCCGCAACATAAATTTTCGGATTAGGTAGGCTTTATTTTATGATATAGGTGAGTGTTTTCAATATTCAGTTTCATAATATGTTTAAAAGGATTTATATCAAAACTTGTGCAATTATTGTTAAACCCTGTAAATGCACACTGCTAGTCTTGTTTGAATTTTAATGCAAATGTCGTAAATCATTATGTTCACAGAATAGTTGGTAATAATAAAGACATATTGTTTGACCATTAAATGTGTAATAAATTTGGGAGGCAACATTGAATTTATATCAATAAAATAAAATATAGTAAAATAATATAATACAGAAAAATATATTTTAATTTATTGAATTATGTAGGTTATATTGTAAAAGGATTTTTTGTAAAAAAGTGCTTTTTTTCAAAAAAAAATATAATTTGATATAAAATAGTATATTTGGTCATGTTGATCAATTTTTTAACTTTCCGAATGGTAAGTTATAGTAATGGGCCAAAAATCGAAAATATAATTTTTGCAATCTTTACGTTTTGAAGGTTTCTGAACATTTTGGCATACCTCATGTGATATGTGTATGTGTATGTGTAAATCCAATTTTTCATCGACGTTTTAGGGAGTACCGCTCAACCGATTTGAATGATTAAAAAAGCGATCGATTCCTATTGATAGGGAGATGTGCTGATTAGTTTTTAGGAAAGATCGGTCCAGTTTCCGAGATACGAAGCAAAGTGTGCAGAAAATATAAACTCGCTTTTTGTGAGAACCGGGTGATCCGATTAGAATGATTCAGAGAACAAGTGGTGATTAGCTTTTGTCAAAGGCAGGTTGAAGATACGAAGCTAAATATGCGAATTGTGTTGACTAAACAATTGCTTTTGAGGATTTTTTTTATTTAAAAATTAAATTTTTTTCCCAAAAAAAACTATTTGGATTTTAATTTTATTTCTGGTTAAAGTTCTTTTTATCGAGCATTTTATTACAATACGGAAAGTCCCAGCAACTTGCATTAAGGTATGATGCCACACACCGCTAATTTCATTTGTTTTTGAATCGAAATCAGAATTTATTTTCAAAAAATTCCTAAAGCTTATAATCAATAAAAATTTTATTTAAAATAATATAGGCCAATCTAGTATAGCAGGTGTCGTAAACCAATTGGAAGTGGCAAACATTTAATTTAGATTGTGCTTTGAATTATATGTTTTTATTTTCTTAGAAAATAAAATTTCTAAAGTTTTATAATATTTTATTTAATTTTATTAGACTAAGTGATAATAATAATTAAGTTTTTTGTATAGTGTTGTATGTGGCTGTATAATGATACTTTAGGCCAAATAAAATAAAATTAATAAAACAAAATAAAATTTAAAAATCTAGTATATTTATCGTCATGTTGATTAACATATTATTATTAAATTTGTTTTTGAACAGCAATCAGAATTTGCATTTTTTTTTTCAATATATATTCTAATTATGTATATTTTATATTAGAATTTTTCTAATTTATTTTTCAATGTCGGAAAGGGATAGTGCCTCTTGAAAATGTATTTTCATCTTTAATTTAAATCTAAAGACGCTTAAAATAGATATACGAATCTAGTATTATTGATTACAGCTTATTGATCAAAGAATTTCAAAGGACAATAAAATCTAAATTCAAAACTAAATCTGCCGTTCGTTGTGTTTGAAAAGCACTTAAATCGAAGAATGAAGGAATGGATCCATTATTTTCAATAAGAGAATTGGGCACAGAAACCCAAGTTCTTTTTGTTAAATTTATTTTGTAATGAGGGTATAATTCATGTTTCAAGAGAGAAAAAAATACATTATATTATACTATACAGTTGTAATTAAGTATAAAAATTTATAAATATTATTATAGTTTGAATCGCCAAAGTCAGTAAATTGAATTTTTTTTCTGAATAGATGTGTATTTAAAAGTTAATTAAAACTATTCTTGAATATATATATATATATATATATATATATATATATATATGTTTGTGTATATATATAAAGTGATACAATATTATAGAATATCTCAATGAAGCAATTTGTCGGAGTTAATCAAGCAGCCTGAATTAACAAGAGACCCATCACCTTTGGTAATTAGTTCCAGCATTCGGCCTTCAGGGAATCAAGACAACTAAATCTTATAACATAATGAATATTCGAACTATTGTAATTAAGATAACAAATTGAAGAAAATGAATTTCTAATAATAATCTTCAATTGCAGTAAGAAACAATGTATTTTGTAAGGATCGTTAATCTACTCATTACATAAATCATTCTATATTATTAACTATGCATAACTATGATATTGTATATTTATTTAATTATTTTATAAATAATGACAAATGTAGTAACAAGATAAGAATTTAGCCAGATAAGAATTTTTATAGGTAGCATTTGACACACTCGAAAGGTGCAATAATCTATCATATATAAAATTATATTATTTGATACGAATCCCACTGCAATTTACCCTAAATAAATTAGTTGGTTTCATTTTATTTTTTTTATGAAATATTATTCTATTTATATAAGATCTCATATATTTCTATTAATAGCAAAAAAAAATTAAATTGTTAAAATTAGGTATTCCAAAACAGCCATTGTATAGCAAACTTTTATATAATAATTTAAGATAACAAAATTGTATACTCTTGTTAACGTTTAGAGCAAATTCATACTAAAAAAACAATATTCATAATGGAAAAACAACTATTGAGTTGTTTTCGCAATAGTCAATATAGTACCTATACAATGTCCATTTACGGTTGACAATTGAAAATTCCCAAAATTTACTAAATCATTGTTAATTCGATTTCAGAGTTTTTTTTTACTAGATATAGCTTTCTAGCTTTCAGCCAAACCTCTAATTCTCCTGAAAATTCACCTATATATGAATTTTTGTGAGAAAAAGAAAAAATCGTAAAATTTAAACCAATCATTTTTTTATACTCGATTTTATTTACAACTGCAGTGAAGAACATTTTGTAAATTTTGGAAATTTACAATTGTCAACCGTAAATGGATATTGTATACTATATTGACTATTGCGAAAACAACTCAATAGTTGTTTTTCCATTCGCTTTAATATTCACAATATTTTAATGATAATGATATAATCTGAACTATTTACTTATAAATAATTTCTTATAAATATTAAGTTATTTCAATCTTTATCAGGACAATTGATGATTAATTTGCTAAATTTTAGAATAAAATGTGTATTGTACAAATCAATTTTAAAAATATATAGTTGTAATGATTGTTAACAAGTTTAATGGTACTTTAGAAATTTTATTATTGCAAAAGAAAATCTACGAATCATGTAAAGGACAACGTTCAAGTCAAGCATTAAATAAACTTTTATGATGCAACTTTTTACTTACAGCTCTTGGAAATATTTATGGAAGCAATTGAACAATAAATGCTTTTAGAGAATCATTAATTACAATAAAGAGAAAGTTCGTAAGAAGTGTTGGAAAATTTTCTTTGGATATATTATGATTTTTCTTCATTCGGTACAGTAAAAGTAAATCGTATGAAAATTATTGAGAAAAATATTAGAAACTAAATGTTTATTAAATTATGACTTATGTTAGATAACAAAGTTAGAAATTAAACTAAATTAACAAATAAAAAGCTTTTGCTGAATAATAATTAATACTATCAATCAAACTTTGGTAACAAGAAATATGATTTTACAAAGTGGCACCTAGTACCGGACATTTCAAAATAACCAGCATTGAACACATATGTAGCCATCTCCACACTCTGAAATTCGTTTGACGAATATTCTTAGATATTGTAAAAAAAATCACTATTCATTCACCCTTATGGCTGGGCCGCACCGATGCTCTCAGCTGGAGCATTCATCATATGATTTTCATTCTTTGACTAGGAAATACTAAAAATAGGGGTATGTAGTAACCGTTAGCACTCATACAGAACAAAATTTAATAATTAAAATAAATTACGTCAATTCTCACAAGAAATTTCAATATGTTTACTGTTCGGCGCTAAGGGACGACTTAGTGTCCGGTGCTAAGGGACAGACATGTTCGATCATTTGGTGGTACCAACTAAAATTGTTTAAAATATCTAATAATATTCTACTATTTTACGGATAACAATTAAGTACTACTTTTATCATTGAATGCCACTCAAATATAAATGCATAAATACACTAGAATTACTTTCATTGATTATTATTAGGTGACGCCGTGATTTTGTGCTTAAAACAGCAAAGGGTTGCGCTCGCCGTGGCCGTGTGCGTCACAGGTGAGTCTTGGCGGGTGATCCTGTATTAAATAATATGTGTATTAGGCGCTGTCCGGCGTTACGAGACTTCCCCCTAAACGTTGTATTTGCAGCATTTTTTTAATTATAGGTATTTTTAGAAATTAACTGTAGTATTTGATTTCGCTTGAACATCAAAAAATTACACTCCATCAACTACTACAAATGTTCTTAAACATTAGTTGAGTTTTGCATGTACTACAAAAGAGCGGTTCGACTATTATTTTGTGCTTTAGAGTAATTTATATAGAATTTTTTCACCATAAGCATTGTTGTAATTGTACAGTGATTTTATACATCAAATAAGCATTAAGCGTAACATAGAATTAATGAAATCGTACTTTTTATAAGTTTGTTTTTCCTCTGGTCTGTCGCCCGACATCGGATACATAGAAACGTGCCGAGAACCTTAATTCAAGCATTAACGATCGTAATGTCATTATAAACATTTTCTTCCATTTGAAACCATTTCGTATTTGAGTGGAGAATTAAAATTATTTGCTTAGATATAAAAGAATTTAATTGAATATTTTGAATTGCGTTTATTCAAACTGAAATTGGTGTTCGATAATGTATAATCGACACTGATCTAAATTCGTGAAAGTAAAACCAAACTCAGGGACCGAATTGTAAACTTTTTTTGATTTGTTATTTTATTTATATATTACGTAAATTATCATGTTGTTGAAAGTAAAATTCAAATAAAATGAATAAAATAAAATTTATATGATCTTGAATATGTTGCAGCTGAACTTTCATGTAAGGATTCTAAGATTCAAGAAATCCATCATTGTCAATTTGTAACAAGACTAGTGGTGCATGGCATCGCGCCTTGAGGCAAATTGCTGGCAATTTTTTTTTAAAATAAAATTTTTGAAAAAAATGACTTTTTCAAAAAATTCGATTTTTTTTTCATACTTTGAATTATTTTGAAAATTTTAAACATTTTTTCAAAGCATTTGCAATAAGTTAGCTGCGTAGAATCAAAATATCAAAGCGCGTAGGCGCTGCGTTGCAGTATCACGAATAAACATTGGTACGGTACCCATAGAAATGTAAACAAAATGTGACCAGAAATAATGTCTTAATAATAAATGAATTAAGCTAAGCTACATATTTGTGTATGCAAAAACTGTATGGAATTCCATGAAAAAAATTATGCAATTTAATTAATTTAATTATGAAAGGTTTAAGGCCATGCAGTATTTTTTTTTCAATATTTTCTCCGCATGCTATTTCAGACAGATCGTAATGAAAAGCAATTTACATTGATGCATTAATTTTAAATTACATTTATAAGATTGAAAAGTGTGGAATATAATTATGACTTGTTTGGAATATTATATCATACTCTAGCCTTATTGTGAACACGTACCCATTACACAAATGTTGTTACTGTTGAGAAATCCTACTATGCAAATACAATGCAAACAAAAATTAATAATTTATTTAATGAATTATATACATATAATAACTAACAGAAAATTTCTATAAAAGATTGAAAAATATAAACACCACTTGATCTGAGTCAACAGTAATTTTTACTGATAATTAACTACCGACATCTTAATTTTATTAACTAGAAGAATGCATTTTAGTTTTGTATATCGAAAGGAAAATCAACTACTGAATTATTAATGGATTGCTTTTCCAGCATATCATTTTAATACAACGCAATAAATCTAAAATATCAAATTTGCTAAATGCTGTGAATACTATGCATATTATTATATAATAATAAAATAAATTAAATAAAAATATGTTTTATACATATTAAATATTTATATAAAAATCAAAAACACAATTTTAATTTCATACTTCGATTTAGTTCAATTTATTCACAAATATTTGATGATAATGATATTGCTTTAATTAACCATTTACATCTTAGTGAACATCTAGCAAATGAAAACATATAATAATTAATGACAATAAGTAGAAAAACAATGATAGTGTTTTGTCTACTTTAAATAAAAAATACAAATGAGCAATATTTCAATAAAAAAAATAAAAGGATCGATATGAAATTAAAATTCTTGTACGTAGCAATAGAGTTCTATCTGGTGTGTTTCTGAAAAATTAACAGCCGTAATAAAATATTAACACACATTACCATAAATATATATATATATATATATATATATATATAAAATAATATTATATATATATATATATTATTATATATATTATATATATAATAATATTATATATATATATATACATGTCTTCTGTTTTACATGGAAGATTCGTTTCAGAAAAAACGTGTAACTCGAAAAATTCACTTTTATATGGAAAAAACCTGCTAAACGAAAATCACTATGCAAAAGCCTTTTTTGTTAGATTTTAATATGATGAACAACTAATACATTAAACAAAAAATAAATATTAATATAATATTTTTTATCTTTGTTTTATTATTGGAATAAGTTAAATTTTTTATAATTAATTAAATATGCTTGGTATTAAATTATCTAGCATATTTAATTAATTATAAAAAATTCATTTATTTCAATAATAAAACAAACATAAAAAAAATATTTTTTATTGCATTTTCTTTATAGATAAAAATTAAAATTGGTTTGTATAGATATAACTTTTCTTTCACATTATAATTTTTTGCTTTCATCTTTTGCCATTGCCGAACTATATTTTTTTTATAAATTAAAGATTTAGTAAGCAATTATTCTGTTACTTGCTCACCTTGAATGAATTTATGCTATCAATTATATATAAACACTAATTAAAAACCAATTTTAAAAACAATGATGCTCTTTGTTTTGATATTTTAAACAAACTAGCTTAACACATACAAAATTTAGTTTGGATCATAAAACATTGAGTTCCCATGTAGATATTTCATATACATAGATTACTAAAAATTCGTAACTGCAACATACATACTAATTATATTTAGTGTTTATAATAAATGCAAAATTAATAAATTTTGTTAAAAAAGATTATTTTCAAAAACCGTGTAAGATCGAAAACGTGTAAAACGAGTAGGATGTAAAACGAAGGTGTATAGATGTTATTTAGTATTACTATAATTGAATTAAATTAGAATAAAAATGCTTTACTCACCTCACAAATTTACTTTGTGTTTTTGCAACAATAATACCAAACAGTTTCTAAATTAATAAATTGTTTGAAGTTCATTTAAATAAGAATGCATTTATAACAATCTAATTCCACTGTCACCATCTGAATAAATTTTATTATTTATTTTTATATTATAACACGAATAATAATTTAGCACGAAGAATAAGGACCGACCGGTGCACTCGTCGCAGAATCGCGAATCGAACTGAACTCTTATCAAACATCAGGAGGTTTCCAACGGCAAGTTCGCCGTTGGAAATGGATCATAATAAAGGACTTGCGCAGGAGCAAACAAACAACGTGTTCATGGAATTTATTCAACAATTTATGGAATATATAATCATTTATATAGACAGGTACATCAAACTCTCTCAATATTGTTCAAGGCAAAAATAACTAGATTCAAGTGTGATTTTATAACTACAATGATAAATAGATATAACATTAAGGGGGTATTTTACTGTAGAGGCACGAATTTCGCCCGGTTTGTATAAAGAAAACAAATAATATTTTTACTATCGATTTTTTTTATCATTTGTTTATTGATATTTTATTATTTCATGAAAAAATTATTGAAAAAAAATTAAAATTCACAAAGTTATGAGCAGTCAAAGCGGGGGTTTAAAAAAAAGAGGGTGCCCTGGCGTGCATGATTCCAACCCTCCTGGTGATCTAAAACATAAAATATAGATGGATTCTTAATTATTATAGATGCCGCTATCGTATGACCCTTGGATAAGTTAAAAAAAAATTTTTTGTTTGAATGGTGGCAGTTTGAAAAAAAATTATTTTTTTCATGTTTTCTTAAACAATTCCGAATTTTTTAAAAATACTAAATGAAAAATTATAGTTTTGGGCAATGTCCACGCGATAAAGTGATGTATAGAGAAGATCCTCTCCAAATTTGAAGTAAATCGGTTCATTAGAACTCAAGATATCCTTACCGCCAGCTCGAAAAAAGTAGTTCCAAGAAAAACGCGTTCAAAGTTTTGCTGTCGGTCGGACCCGAACCGAGGCCACTAAAACGGCTATAACTCAGGAAATAATGGTAATTTTGAAAAATCCTTTTAATGACAAATTTTTGAATAACTAAACTTTGAAAAATATGAAAAAAAAATTTCGATTGTTTCAAAATTCTACAGTAGAATACCCCCTTAAATTAACGCAGAAAATACTAAAATAATGCAATGAAATGCTAGATCTTGATGTATAATAGGACAAAAAATCTAGTTGTAAGTAGCATTTTGCCTTAAGATAAGTTGCATTAACTTTCCGATACGTATACATAATCAAATCAGAAGTATTAGAATTTTGCCTTGAGGCAAGTTACATAATCTTCCCGATATGTGCAAACAATCGACTTCATCAATAAAAAATAAGTTAATTTATGAGTGATTAAAATATTTCAATTGGATTTATTACACATAATTGAGAACAAACGAACACTTTAACTCGGAGCAGCTTTCGTAGGACTCTAATGGTTTAGTATGTTCCTTAAGACCAAGTACTCTATCGTTATACCAAGTAAATCGTCTTATTTTTAATTTCACCAAACATCAAAAAAACTACTCATTTTCTCAAACTTTGATGAATTTTAAAATTAAACTACTTGTCGCAAGGCCGAAATATTTTAGTAGGTTCTGTAAGACGATGATATATATCGCCAAATAAAGTTCCATAAAATCGGCTTAAATTTCTTTTTTAACACTTTAATTACAAGAAAACGGATCGGTAGATTTTCACCTAAAACTAATCAATATTATTCCCAACTAATATCTTTCGAACAGTTTTTGATGTTTTAAAATCGATTCGGTACTATGAGCTTAAATATGGACGAAAAGTTTAACCCTTTTACCAAATTACTTAGGAACGACAATCCTCATCGAGATACATCAAATGGCTTTGAAATTTCTGAAATCGGTTCAGGCATTTTTAACCAAACGTTGATGAAAGTTCAAATTTTAACAAATTTTAACGAATGAATTTTAAAGTTAAACGAGTTGTCGTAGGGCTGTAATATTTTAATATGATCTATAAGACTATCGTATCTACCGTCAAAAAAATAATAATAAAAATAGTCGCAAAAAAATTTCAACACTTTATTACAAGGAAAACAGCCCGGTTGATCTCTACCAAAAACTAATCAGCACGATTCCCAACCAATATCTTTCCAACAGTTTTTGAATTTTCAAAATCGATTCAGAATTGCGGTCTAAAACGTGGACAAAAATTTTTTCACTTTTCTGCTATTTATAAAGAAACGGCTTGGCTGATCGTCGCACAAAACTGACAAACAATAGTCCTCATCGAGGTGCATCGAATGGCTTTTAAATTTTTGAAATCGGTCCAGCCGTTTTGGAGAAAGCGTCGACGAAAGGTCAAAAACGAGCTCATATACACACAAACACATTATTTTTCAAAATTTGGTCTCATTCGATTAATAATGACTTGATACTTCGAGAAAAATTTAATCAATAAAAAGTTAATTAATTAATACAAAATGAGATTTAGCCAAAAGACCTTATTATAAGGTCTATGGATCTACTATTTAAATAAAATATTCAATTGTTTATTTCGAAAATGAAATGCTTTTACTAAAAATTAATTAATGCGATTTCCAAATGATATCTTTCAAACAAATTATAATATCTGTAATTGAATGAATTAAATTCAATTACAGAACGTCCATAGATTCATAATAGATTCAGCATAGATTCTAATGAGAATCGCTTACGCGCGGCGAATAAACTTTGATGATTTCTAATAATTCAATCGCTCTTCGTGGGCTTATATAATATAATATATAAAATAATTAGGTTTGTCTGTAAAAAAAATTCAATTTAATTGTGAAAAGATGGCTCGGCCGATCTTTACCAAAAACTAATCGCGATTCTCAAGCAATATCTTTCGAATAGTTCGAGTTTTGAAATGCGATTCAAGATTGTGGGCTAAAACGTGGACGAAAAATTTTACACTTTTTGCTAATTACAAAGAAACGGCTTAGCTAATCCTCGCTCTACTTAAAATGCATGAAATTTTTTAAATCGATCCAGCCGTTTTTGAGAAAATGTACATGTATTTGTATATTATTTTCTAATGAACATTTATTATGTTCTTTAAGACCATAATTATATAATGATCTATATCACAACTAATTACAAAGAAACGGTCAGACCTGTCTTGACCAAAAACTAATCTGATATCTTTCGAAATTTTTAAACTTTCAAAATCGGTTTAGGATTTTTGTCTTATAAGTTTTTAAAATTTTCAATATCGACACTGAAACAATTTTACAATAATCCACTAATTATGAAGAAATGGTTTGGCTGATCGCCAAATTAAATTTTAAATTTTTAAAATCGATGCAACCGTTTTTGCAAAAACGTTGACGACAAGTCATTATTTTACTTACATTCACACAAATACATTTTAAATAACATTCAACATTTTATATTTTACATACCTTCTTCACTTTTTGTATTAAACGATTCAGAATGGCTTAAAATATCGAGAACATAAACTTCTTGTTTGGGGAATATTCAGTGTTAAAATTGCTATTATAAGAATTATTTTATAGACTATACAATAATAGGTCTAATGAAGCATTTTAATTAAATTTAAATTAGCTATTAAAAAAAATATATAAATTTCATTGATTTTTATATTCAACAATCAGTACAGGTTTAATAAAAATATAAAAATATATGATTTGATCATATAAACACCATGTTTCACAATATATATGCACTTTTTATATGCATTTTTTATGATATATATATATATATATATATATATATATATATATATTCAAATATATAACTTTAAATAACATAACAAAATTTATTAAATATATTGATTCATCTTCGCTCAAACTCACTATTAAAAATTTTAGAAATATATTTAATCATATCACTACAAGTCATACTCCTACCATATTCTTTAAATGCCTCTGTATTACATAATTTAATTAAAGTTGAAGAAGCAGCACAAGCCGCTTTCGCAGGCAGATTTGCATCTTCTTTGCAGTTATTTTCTTTAATATAATGCAAAGTCCAACAAAAAAATGTTGCGAGGGCACCAGAGAGTAAATCTCCTTGTCCCCCACACCGTCTTCCACTACCTCCAGTGTTTACAATAATTTTTGAATTAGTTCTCATATCAAATAACACATCGTTGAGACCTTTCTGCATTATTACAAGCTCAGTTCCAAACAATCTCTTAGCTGTTTCAAAAACAACTTCATCACTTGCAAAGACTCTCTTAAATTCTGCTGCATTTGGGGTCATAATAACATTTTTATAGTCATACAAAACCATGGAGTTCATCTTAGCCCATTGCAAACCATCTGCGTCAATTACTAAGGGCAAGTTTAATTTTTTGCATTCTTTAACAACTTCTGTAACTACATTAAATATTTTTTCATTTAAACCCAGGCCAGGGCCCACAATTAAGACATGCAATCTTGTCAGCCAGTTTGATATTTCGCTTACTGCTTGTAAAGAATCTAACAAAGGATGTACAATCAATTCAGGGCTGTAAGATTTAATTACTGGAGCAGCGTCTTTGGGACAAAATACATGAACTAGATCAGCACCGACTTTTAAAGCACTTATTGCTGCAAAATATGGAGCACCTGTATATTCTAAGGAACCCCCAATGACTCCTATTCTACCGGCTTGACCTTTATGCCGGGTAGTAGACAGTTCAGGAATACATTCCTTAGCTACTTGCACATAATTTATACAACTGGACATATTTATGACAGATCTAATATGAGATATGCTACTGAACAGATTAATGGATTTTAATATCATTTAAACAGTTCCTGTAAATTGTAATACACCCTGACGTATTTTACATCGCCAAACAATATTATGGTTATCTGAAAGATGTCAAAACAAGACTCCATAGAGAATCAAGTGATTCGAATCATTCAGCCCAAGCCATAGAATATATTGTCTGTAGACTATATATTTTTTTAACTAGACTAGACTCTAGACTCATACTAGACTATATTTTTTTTAACTAGACTAGAACTAGAAATCACTAGAAATTATTTACCAAGAAACAAGGATGTTTATGAATCCAAGTTGTTTTTAAATAACTACCCTATTTAAATTGGAAATTAGCAAATGTATCAAATAAGAATCTACTGAACCTGTAAAAACTGTGTCACGAAAGAATGTATAAAAAAACATTCATTGATTGCTTTAATTACAATAATTTTTCAAGCTATCAAAAACTAAAAACTAGTTGAAGCAAATTTTCAAATTATTTCAATTATTATTGACATTTTAACATTTTCCTTCTATGAAGATTTTCACTTTCATTTGTAAAAAAACAAAAAATACCAAATTAATTAAAAAAAGTTGCATTTCATATAAATCATTTCACATTGTAATAATGGGAACATGTTGAATCCGGCCATTTGTCCATCCCACAGTCAATAAAGAATCGTGTTTACAATATTTTTGAAAATCTATACATGCAGGTTGTTCACCAGCAAGACCACAAAACAAGAAACTAAAATACAAGAGTCCCATTAAATATAATTTCTATATTAAATTATATGTATATGTAAATATTATAAATTTATACTTGCCATGGAAAAATCTGTAAAACAGCACAGCCAACATCAATTTTGCAAACAGCTATGTAATTTGAATTTTTAAATAATATCGCTAAGTATGAACCATTTGTTGATAACTGTAAATTTTGTATCAAACCTCCACAAGGCTCACCATTTGGCAAAGTAATTTTAGTTGTTTCAACTAAACGTGTAGGACCCATCAATGGAGTTGAGTCCTCTAAAAAATAAAGTACTTATTAAGTATGTTTCAGAAAACGTGTTTTAATTATGAATTAAAATATATATTTACTGTTTGGCGCGAGTGCCACATTCATATTAATTGTGAACACATTGGGATCCTCAGAAGTCGCAAAAATCAAATGAGTTCCACATGGTGTCCAGCAAGCAGTTTGGATTATGCCTTTATGTAACTTCCATCTGGTTGATGACCACTTATATGTATCCCAAACTCTGAAAAAAACAAGTTTACATTTTTTGTAAATTTGTTTTAAAATTCTTTTACTAACTTTGTTTAGAGCCTCTGAGTTGAAATGTCATTAATAAATTGTACTAATCAATGAGGGATAAAAGTAAGATTTTAACTTAATATTAAATACCCTGAAGAAAATTTAATATTATTTCACCTGTATGTTCCTTGAATATCAGATGAACAGATATAGTGAGTTGACATAGCCCATGTTACTAAATTAACACCAATTCGGCTGCACCAAACTTTTTCATTTTTATTTTGTTCACAATTCCATACCAGAATATTTCCATAGAATGAGCTTGCTGTAATTAAAAGTGTTCCCCAAGAATTCCAGGTTATGCTTGCAACATTCATTTGTTTTAATATAATTGCATTAGCCATAGATGGCCGAATTTGTATCGAATTTTGATCTATTTTCCATAATATTACACCAATTGATGTTCCAACAGCCAGTTCAAAAGCAGCATAAGGCCTCCAAGAAAGACATGATATGTCTTTTTGCTTTTTTCCCTTCAAAGGCAAGTAAAATTATATATTATATTATATATGGTAACCATATTCAAAAATAAATAATATAAAGATTAATCTATTTGCCCCAAAATAAATTGTACACAAGAAAAATGAAGTACTTACTCTTAAAATTGTAGCAGGCGTTTTTTGTCCACAGTGAAATACATTGACAGTATCATCTAATGTTGCAATAGCTAATTTTAAGCAAAGTGGCTGCCAAGTTATAGCTCTTATTAAACTATGCTCCCAGTTTCTAGTTCCATAATATAACATAAAGCTAGAACGTAATTCTTTCAGTTGAGGCTGCAACTTGTATCGAAAGTCTTGAATCCAATCAAGTGACTTTTTCAAATAAAATGCAGGTAATGTAATAACTCTTGATTCTTCATTTGTTTCATAAAGATTTGCAGCTGTGTTAATACATTCAATAAAACCTTGGTCAAAGTAAATGCGAATAAGTCTTCTTAGCAGAATATCATCCCTTTCTTGGAAAAGTATTTGAGTTTCTTCTGAATTTTGATTACATGTAAGTCCATCATTCGAAATTACTTTAGGATAATTATCTAACTGAAAACAAATATTGGTAAAATATTTAGCAAAATATAATGAAAACTATATTTTACTTACACTTGAACTATTTTTTAAATTGATATTATCTGAGAAGTGAACTTTGTCGTTCATATAACAGAATGATTCTTGATAGCGAATTATAGAAGAAAATTGTTCTAAAGAAAGTACGGTATTCATTATGTTAACAAAGATTAATTAATAACTTATATTTAAAACTAAAATCTAACTGTCATATTAAACGCATGTCAAAGACAAAGCAACTAAAATAGTGTTGCCATATCAAAATAAATTAACTTAACAGATTTATTATTTAAAATGTGAGAGTTTAATTTTTTAAATATTGATTATATTAAAAAAAACAAATTAAATGCTATTGATATTAAAAAAATAGACCACTCATATTATTCATAATCAATTTTATTAAAATTATATACAGTAGTAAAAATACTACACTGTTCGACTGAAATTACCAAAAATCCATTTTTGTGTTTTGGAGCCGGGATTACAAGTTGTAACAAATATTGTTTTTGCAATAATATTTGCATCAAGACATCGAGGGTTTCCTCCATGTACTAACCATTGATGTTTCTGTAAAATCATGATAAAAGTTTATTTCATATATTGTAGTGTTCCAGAATTTGGTAAGCTAGCAAATATAATGTGAAAATTGTAAAAAATTTACTTAGTAATATAGATAAATAAACATAAGTGCTTAGTAATGTTAAGTAATAAGTAGACTATGTAAATAGCAGTAACAAAAGAATTCTTTCATAGGATAATCAATTCTTATGATGAAATATATAATAACATATAATCCCGATAAATTGCTTCATTTGCAAGAAATGTATATATGATATTTTAAATTAAATTTAGACGATAATTCATTTACTCTCATTTAATTATTTTTTTATTTTTATAATCATAAGTTTACTGGACAGTTTTGGACCATTATCTCCACATCAGGTAACACTATAAGACTGTAACTAGCGTGCGTATTAAACATAACCTCGTTATGTCATTTTAACAATATACTTTTGATCATTTGTTATTTTAATTCGATGTCGTCCTTAGTAAAATCGATAACCAGCGGTATAATTAAATTATGGAATCCGTCAAAAGAAATTGTAAGGTACCGTTATCATGCAGACAAAGTAGCTAAAGGACCTCTCATACGAAGATTTGGGTACGAAGAAAAAATTTTTAATAAAGGTACCCTCCCTCACACTGACGGCTTAAAACTCCCCATGCCGACATATCGCCCTGGAAATGCTTGGGCTGAACACAAGGCGCTCTTTGGACAAAACGATTATATTGATATATTAGGAAATGAAGCATTACATCCGACAAGAATATTATATAATGTACCATCATGGTTACGAGGTGCTTCAGGAAACGAGTTTCAAATACTGTTAAGAAAACGAAGAGTTTTCAGGCAAACAGTGGCTCCCATCGCTAGACCAACAAAATGGAGAGAACTTAACAAAAGAATAAAATATTTGTACAAATTTTTGAATCAAAAGACTAAGACAGGATTTTCTGTACAATAAATAATGTTATAATACATGTAGAAATTATTGAAGTTTACAAATAAAGAGCTAAGTATATCGTAAACAAAATATGAAGGATTTATTATCATATTTAAAAATATACTCTTATTTCTTCATTCTTAAAATGCAACTATTTAACTGAATTCTAATTGGATTCTTTCATATGTAATAAAGTATTTCCTGTAAGTTCTATATATGGTTTCTTACTTCAAATGCATAAAAATATATCAAAGCTAACCTGATGATAACTTACTTTATCATAATTCCACAATTGGTTACCCTTAGAACCATGGCATGGGTATAAACTTAATGTTGCTTTATCTTGTGGTGAAGGTACATCCCAACAATAAGATCTTCCACTAGGTCGTATATCACTGTGCCATGTCCAAATAAATGTTTGTTCTGCATTGGTTACAGTTTTACCATAATCTGATTTACAAAAATCTAAGCCAAATTGTACTTCTCTTGGTTTGTTCTTAGTATCAACACATAAGTTTGTATCTGCTGCACTTCTTATCTTGAAAAATGAACAATAAAATGTTCAAAATTCTATATTCAATTATTAAAGAAAGTATTTTAATACAAACTTCTCCTTTTGCAAAATCATCAGGTTCGACTGGTGGATATTTTTGAGGCAAATCAAATGCTATATTTTCTATGAACCATTTAAATGGTTTACAGTTCCATTTATCTCTCACTGCTTTTTGTGCAGTCAAATCTCCTGCATCAATATTTCTATAATGCGGTTTTCTATTGTATAAATACTCTTTATATTCATCCATCCACACTTCAGCCACTCTTTTATAATTCTAAAATATTTTTAATTGTAATACTCATGTTTATATAAAATTTTTATACTACATATTATTACTAACCCTTCCTATAAAATCTCCAATTCCTGGGTTGGGAAATGGTGCAAATTTCCTATATATGTGTCCTACTCTTGAGCAGGGAGCATCATACATCTGTCCACCACATTGCCAAATTTTAAAACTTAATTCATATTGCTCTCCACCCCAAATATCTAAACCCTCATCATATCCTCCTAGTTCCCAAAAGAATTTGGCACTTATAGCAAATAATCCGCCCGCCATAATAGGACTCCTATTTTTTTATTTTAATTATATTTTTTAAACTTAGGATGTAACTAAAAGTTAATAACTTGCAGTTGTAATTAAGATTGTACTACAAATATTTTACATACTTGAAAGGCTCAGATGGATGTTCTAAATCTTCAGGCAATAAAGGTAGTCTTTTATAAAAGAACTCCCAATCGAAAGCACCTCTAGCACCTTCATCTTGTGCCCTATACTCAAAAGTTTCAAATTGTATCACATCAATAAAAGGGCACATGCATGTTTTATAATCCTGAGCAATTGGTTCTGCAAATTATTATGAATATATATATATATATTAAAGATTTTTGTATTTATTCAATTTCAATTTTGTATTTATTCAATCTTTGCATTTATTTGGGAAAGGAACAATTCTTTCTAAAGCAACAATAAAGTTTAATCAACTACACTAATTGCAAGACAATAAGCTATAACAATATATAACATGTAATGAATAAGCTAATAATGATAATAATGTAACTAACAATCAGTTAAGTTAATTATTTTCAGTTTTTATAATTTAGTTTCAGTAGGTGGTTAAATATGGCTGAAAATAATTTAGTAATTAAAATAGCTTATTCTAATGCTTTGAAATATTAATTTATTTTGGTTAGTAATGAAAAAAAGTGATAATAAATATAAAACCTCACCTAATAAGGGAGGTAACCAATTAACATTAGCTTCTGTATGTGAATCCAAAAAAAGTAAGACTTCTGCTTTTGCTATTTTAGCACCTGCTAAGCGTGCTCGGATCAAGCCTGATCTCTTGTGCATTCTTAAAACTTTAACTTTCGGCATATTTTTTGATACATAGTCTTCCAATTTAGATTTAAGAAAGTCTAAGAAACATTTGTTGAATTTGTAAAAAATATATAAATCTTTAGATTGTATTCCAATACAAACAAACCTTTTGTACTAGCATCATCAACCAATATTATTTCAGAAATAAGATGTGCAGGTGATCTATTTAGAACACTTTGTGCTGTTCTAAGCAATGTGCTCCAATGTTCATTATGAAAAGGTACTATTACACTAACAGTCGGCAAGTTTTGCAGGTATTTTTTTGTTTTACACCTGATACAAGAAATATATTAAAAAAGGATTAACACTTGTGCTGACAATCATTTTGTTACCCTGGGTTACGTATATCAGGTAATGATCTATTTAATGAGATTTTATCACTTAATGCTGCATTAAAACCATTAACATCGTACAACTTTTTTTTTAAAGTCTCATTAATTTTTGTTGCATTTGCTGGTTTGCCTTGCTCTCCAGGCCCTATTCTATTTAAATCTCTTTGTATCGCTTCATAATCATGCCAATCTATTTTGATTCTATCGTTTCTTAATCTAAATGGCTATTGAAATTAAAATTATGAAATAATTGTAAATTTAAATTTCATTAGTGATAAATATTAAATACCTTTATATCATCCAATTTATCGTGAATAATACTATTATTAAATTCGTCTTGCAAAGGTAATCTCATAATTCGAAGAAGAATCAAAGTAGCAGAAATAAAAGCAGTAAGTACTAAGCCTAACTTTAAAAACGTGGCAATGTTTCGTCGCATGGTATAAATTAAAAAAATAAAACAAAACTAGACAATTACGTTATATCATATAACATGACACTGAGTATTTTTAAAATATAAGTATATAAGTAATCTCAAATTATAATTGATGATTAAATAAGGTTATAAAGACAACAACACAGTCTGACTTGACAACGTATAAAACTAAAAAAAGATTATTTAAATACAACAGTTACGATAATGTTATCAGCATATCTTATTTGGGTTACATTTATTGTTTGCTTTTGTCCAGATCATCATAAAATACGAAACTGTTGATTTTGAGTTTTTGGCATTGACAGATAAAATGACATTTGTATGTTTATGTTTATTTAACGAAGAAAATGCAGAAATCCAGCCAATCCAAATAGATGAATGTGTTAAAAGCGCCTCTAGAGCGCGAAATTCAAATTTCAAAACTTATAATTACAGTAATCAATTTTACCAACAGATTCTAAATATTCTAATTCAACAAAAAATTTATAAATGAAACAAGTTTATATTTTATTTTTTTAACACAGCTTCAAATATACATTACAAATCATAACATCAGGATACTCAAACATACAAACATGCATTAGGATAATCATTGTATTAATGATAAGCATTGCATTAATTTGTTATTATTTACATTCACTATAAAAAAATATTTTTCTTATTTTTTTTTTTATAAAATACATCAAAAACCAGTCCATTACTTATATTATTTTTTATTAAAGAAACAATATAATAATACATTATTCCTATTTAGGTAAATACATTTATTCATGTTTTGACTTAGTAGGCTCTTCTTTGTAATGTAAAAATACAAATGAAAATATGAACACTCCAGCCATCATAGAGAAAGCGCTAGCATAATATGGGAAAGCACTGGGTATAAATCTTTCATATTGTGTGTGCTCTAGTGGCCTTACAGAAACCTAAAAAAATATTTAAAATACATGTAAAATAGTAAATAGATTTTATGAGAAGACTTAGTATCTCGACATAAAAACAATGTAACAATGGATTTATGATATTTGCTACGATATTTAAGTACATATTGCACATATACAGCAATATATTAAATAATATTTATATATATTTTGTATTTATGTCATGCATTATGAATGTTATATATATATATATATATATATATATATATATATATATATATATATGAAGGTATATGAATTAAGATATAAAAAAGTGAACCTGTGTTGTGCTATAAAGATGTGTGTATCCAGTTCGGTCATAGTCCACCTTGAATTGATAAACTCCATACACATCTGGTATTTTGAACCTAGCTTCATAATTTCCATTTGCTAATTTTTTGAGAGTAGTTCTTACAAATGGATCAATGCGAACAAATTCTAATTGAACATCATCAGCTTTGAATGGTTCCCACTTTCCATTGACCTAATAAATAATTCGATAGGTATATTATATTTATATGCATATGCACTAATAATAAAATTCTATTATTAAACATTTAATCATTTTAATTGCATACATAAAAATGTTGTATGTATACTACAAAGTGAGATAGTAAGAATATAATTATAATACTTTTTATACTCACCAATTCTTGAATTTGGATTGTATAAACCACTGGATCCATAATAGTATATGATGGAGGAGGAACTTTCTCATTTTCATTATGATGATTAACTGATTTTACACGTAATTGACCTCTTTCTCTGAAAACCCATTGTGAAAGTGATATAGCTACATCCTTATTACCAGATTTCTTTGCTGTGCCACCCTGTTATAAAACATAAACAGAATAATAATTGGAGATAAACAAAATAAAACATCATCAATGTTTAGTACAAACCTGATTTTTTTGAACCATAGAATTAAACGCTTCATCTGAAAAGAATTGAATAGATCCACTAAAAACCACACGTGCATTATTTCTAGCTTGCAGCCCAGCAATTAATAACGTATTTCGGCCAACAGCATGAGGATACTATAACAAAATATGAAAGTTGGTTGTAATTTCATAATTTATAGCATAACTTCAATAATACCATTTTAATTGATTGGTCTGGCTGATAGCTATATGCTGTACTATCTGCTGATAAAAGTTTTAGAACTAATGGATTCTCAGGATCAGCTAATATTCCTGTGCCAGAATACAACATGGGTGAAATTTTATTTTTATCGCCAACAATAATTGAAGAATCAATTAAATTTTGTGGGTCAGCAACAATAGTTGTATGGGATCCTTTATCAGACACATCATAATTAAGATGATCAATAACAGCTGCTCCTTCCTCATCCACCTATCATAAATAGTAATAGGATATCATTTTTGTTATTAGGTGATCAATTTTAGTATATATATATATATATATATATATATATATAGAGAGTAAAATTATTATATAGTAAACCATACCTCAAAACCGCATTCAGAAGCTAATTCACGAATTGCATCACCAGTGGATTCACTTCCTGCTACCAAAACATTGCCGCCTTCATCTATGAACTAAAAGATTGTACAATTTATTTACAACAATTATCATAATAGATTTTCAAAATCACATCAATTTGAGGATAAATCATTGAGAATTTTTTTCATATGAAAGGTTAAAGTAAGATATGGATAATTTCTTAAATTTTGCTCAGATATATTACTCTAAAAGTAAAATATACTAGCCATACATATTATCAAAAAAACTTATGACTAAAAGTAGCTAAATGAGAAATAATAAATAGATAATAATCTCATGATAAAGATTTAAACCATTTAGGTACCACTCACTTCTGTAATTGCCTCGACACTTAATGATCCTCCAAACTCTTCCACAGCAGGTGAAAATAGAATTAAATGCTTGTATAAATATTCTCCATACTTAGATAAAACTAAATTGGCTTCATCAGCCAATTTGAATGTTAGAACATAACCTCTATCTGTAATAGTACATAAAGCTAACAAATTTCCCATTCTCTAATTTAATGATCTGATTAATAATTTACCTTGTAAGCTTTTAAAAAATATGGAATGAGTTTCTTTAATTGCAAGATTGTCTAATAAAACTAATGTATCCCCACCGGCATTTACTACCGCACAAAGAGAGCATATTAATAAATATAAGAAATTCATTGTTATATTATAGTACAAATGTTTTAATATTAAATTATAATAATAGCATGTAAGAAATTGTATTTATTTTGTATTATATCATAACGATAAAAGTGTAATCATTTGTGACACATAAAGCTATATATTTTTGTGATGTTTGACGTGTTACAAATGATAGGCAACATGATAATTTCAAAAGTTTGAGTTAAAAGCAAGTTAACAACATAAGAATATAAAATGTATTGTTCCTTCAGCTGTCAATATGACAGCACGAAACAAACATGGATTTTAACCCTAAACTAGAGATGATTTTAAGTTGATGCTACTGCCAATTATTTTTAATTCAAACGCTTAAAAAATGCTTGCTGATGAAGATGAAACATTAAAAATCAGTGCTCGTGATAGAGTCACTGTTTCAAACATAACTTATAAGGTAATAAAATTTGAATTTACATATATATATATATATATATATATATATATATATATATATATATATACAATATAGCATCCTCAGAACGTATTTTTGCATTTAAGTTTATTTAAAACCATATATTTCGATTATAGTTCTAGATGGTTCTAGCTCAGCACAAAATTCTAATAATTTAAAAACTAATTCATGTATAAATATGGTTATTTTATACATATACATTATATATTAGTAAAATGATAATTTAAGTATATTTAAATAAATATGTATAGACAGGTTTTCGTGAAGGTGCTGCCGTAGGAAAGGACTCAATATTTCAAGAAAGCTTTGATAATGGTTTTGCAGCAGGTTTCAAAGCTGGCTTTCAACTCGCAAAATATCAAGGACTGTCAATGTTATTGGAAAATAGTCAAATTGAACTTGCAGAAGATTTCAAATCTATAATCTCTAAAAGTTCGTTTATAAGCAAGCCATCAAGAGGTTGTTGCAATATATGTGGAAAAGATAAATTCGAGGAACCTATTACAAAAACAATAAAGGATCAAGAAATAAATATATGCAATCATTTAGAACAATTATCTAGTTTATATAGTTTATTAGGCAATAAATTGGATATTAGCTTAGGGAAGAATATCACTGATCACATTTTTTAGTCTTTGGGCAGTATAATTACATTCCTGGACTATCAGATCACTACTTCTGTATCTAGCTGTTTGAAGTAAGATATTCAGTTAACCACATTCTTGTTTTGAATGCAAATTTATAACCCAGTAATATTATTTAAGCCCAAAGGTGAGATTCTTTATACATTTTCATGAATGCATATTTGGTTCTATATTAACTAATGTTAACTCATGTCAATAAGTAACAGAAATTGATAACTTTCACTTATAACATGTTTGAATAAAATATGGTATTTTAATATATAGATAACATAACTTTTAATAAGCAGTAGCATAATATTCAGTAACTATTTGTCTATAAGACAATAATAAGTTCAAATTAATATTAGTTAATGATCTTGATAAGGATGAATAACAAATAAAAGCATCCTACATTTGAATAAAATGATTTCTCAATATAATAAAATACGTTTTTCAACAGCCTTTCGGCATATTGGACATTCAGACATCCTATCTCCACACATTTGGCAAGTTCCATGGCCACACAAAAATATCATGTTTTTGAGGCGATCCAAGCAAACAGGACACATTGTCTAAAAATAATAAAATGGATGATAAAAATCTCAATTATTATATTTTTAATATAAGTAAAGTAATATTTGAATTTTTACTAAATCAATAAGTTCAATAAATACCTGCTCTTTAATATCTTGAAGTTGTTGTTGCAACTTTTGAACATCATTTGATGTATCCCTATTTCCATTATTCATGAATCCAGAAGCACTATTGTTAACATTGATTCGATTTGCATCCTTATTTAAAACATTGCAGTTTGTGTTGTTTGTTTGTAATTTTACATTTAGATTATTTTCTTTGCCTTCTGAATCTACATTTTCATTTGAAACTTTTGAGATTAAACCATTATTTCCACAACATACATTCAATGGAACCAAAGTTTCAATTTGTGCTCGACATTTAACACATTTTTTCATCAATGTCGCGCAATTTGCACAAGCGCACATGTGATTGCAAGGTTTAAATAGTACTGTAGATTTACGATCTGAACATACCATACATTCTTCAATCTAAAAAAAAATATTAGGTACCAGCTATGGATCAACTCAATATATAGTCAATTAAAGCAAATTAAAAAAAACAAATGCTTAAATGATTGTAAGTAATAGTGTTTCAAACAGATATTTGGATTTCTGTTCACATTTCTCAAGTTTATATTTCAGTTGATCTTAATTTTTATTTATTCATTAACTAACCTTTATTCTATTTCCAACATTCTCTCTGCATATTAAACATTTCTTAATTCTTGGAGCACAAGTGTAGCAACAAGACACATGTGTACAAGGGAAGAAAATAGTGTCTCGTTTCATGTCACTGCAAACTAAACATTCATCAAGTGCATTATCTTCTGTGCACACATCTAAATTATCAGAGCCTGACAATGTAGGTCCCAAATTGTCCATTGAATCATCTGATGTGCGATCCTTATATGATTTAGTAAGAGCATTACACAGATTTGGATCCAAACAAAGATCCAATGGTGTTTGTCCTATGAAAAATAAGCATTGTTATAATAGCAAGCAAAAAGCTTATAATAAGCAAATTAAATATTCAAAGAAGCTCTAAAATAATTTCAATACCTTTTTTATTTTTGATTCCAAGATCTGCTCCATTTCCTGCAAGAAAACAAGCAATTCTAGCAGAAGATTTTTTATCTGCACCTGTGGTACCTAAACCCATCAATAGCTTTCCCACATCTTGAACATCTTGCAATTGTCGTAAATGAGATAACGTATGATGACGAAGGGCTTCATGTAGTGGAGTATCACCATCTTTATCACAAATATTTAAATTTGCACCCTCTCTTACTAGTAACTAGAATGCAAATAAGCATTGACAATATACAATGTAATACAATAATTGTATGAACAAAAATGAAATTATATGCAAAACAATATAACTAACTAAAGTTATGAAAATGTTTAATGTAGTTTTATAACTTTACATTTAAAATAATATACTTACCCGAACAATTTGTGTGTGTTGACGTTCAACAGCTAAATGTAGAGCAGTTTGCAAATTTACATTTTGTAAATCCATATCTGCTTTGCCACACAAAACCAACTGCTCCGCAACTTCAACATGATTGTTAAGTGCAGCTAAATGCAATGCAGTATAGCCATCATCTTTTTTCTCATCCACTATCCAAGGTCTTGGAAGTTTTGTTAACAATATTTTCATAGCACTGTTGTATAAATTATAAATATAAATAATAATAAAGGTAACCTCTGACTTTGCCTAATAGACTAAAATTTGAATTTAAAAGTTACCTTAAGTTTCCTCTAAGTGCTGCATGATGTAGTGCATTGAAACCGTTGTTATTTGTTAATGTAATATCGGCATTATGATCTAGCAGTAAAGTCAACATATCATTTCTTTTCTTAGTTATAGCATCATGTAATGGGGTATCCCCTTCAGAATCCTGTTTTAGAATCGAAATCAGCATAAATATGGTAAGCTTTTGATAATTAGATAAATCATATCATATTAAAAATCAAATGTTAGATATCCAATTTGAATGATAATTTATACCTGTAAACTCGGATGGCAAGCTAATTCTAACAATGTTCTAACAACTCCAACATGACCTTTATTTACAGCTAAATGCAGAGCAGTTTGTCTCCTTTTATTCCTAGCATTTAGATCTGCACCTGAAGCTGCTAATAACTCCATCACTCCTATTAAATTATTCATCAGAAAAAAATATTAAAAAATAATATAACAGTTGCAATATTTATTAAAAACTTTAATAAATTAATTATTAAAAACTTTAATAAATTAATTATTAAATTAATTAATAAATTAATTAAGAAGGAAAGTTAAATCAATAGTGACATTTGAAGATAATGGGTAATTAATAATATTAAATCGATAAAATCTACTTGATTAAGAGGTACCTGGTTCATCGCCAAAGGCAGCAAAATGAACTGCTCTATCTCCATCTTTATCCTCCATTTCTACATCAGCTTTATAGTGTAATAGAACTTTTATGACCTCCAAATAACCATGCTGACTAGCGGCCTTAAATGATTTATATATATATATATATATATATATATATATATATATATATCTTGATAGTTTTTTCGACGTTGAAACATATTTCAAAGTAACTAGCAGCCCATTCGTCGAAATAAAAAAGGTATAAAGTATAAAAACTTTTATTTATACGTTTCGACACAAGATGCGTGTCATCATTCAGCAACTACAACAATTTGAAAATTTTATTAACTAATATGAACAACAATATAGATTATTATAGCATAGAGAAACATTATACACACCACAGGACAAAAACACTCAACAAAAATTTATTTTTAAAAAATTAAACTTAATAACATATTAGAGAAAAACATTTTTTTAGAACAAATTATGTATAACTAAAAGATTTGAAAACTAATTTAACTAAAAGTTATGAAATGCATAATTGTGAATACTTTATACCTTTTTTATTTCGACGAATGGGCTGCTAGTTACTTTGAAATATATATATATATATATATATCTATTACCAAGTTCCCAAAATATATTGATCAAAATTATATATGATTGTGGTTCAAAATTATATATGTTTTTGGTTCAAACATCTAATAATTTAAATTATTTATTACATTATTTCAAGTTATTTACTTGCAAAGCTGTATGTCCAGCAAAAACTCCATTAATATCAACTCCTCCACCGCCTGTATGTGCCTGACTTTGTTTTAGAATTTCTTCACATTTAACTGCATCACCATTTGCAGCAGTCTTTACAAGTTCTTCATTAATATCTCCAGATACATGTGTTTCAAATAATTTTTTTAGCAGCATTGATAATCGTTCACCTAAAAATAGTTAAAACAATTTATTTTCATTCTTATTCATCATATATTTGAAGAAATGTTTAATACCACTGGAAGTCCCAGCACCTGAACTGTCTGTTGGTGATATTTTTGTAACAGCATTTGGATTGTAAGTCCAGGAAGTTCCACAAACTTCTACTTTTAAATCATTGTCATGATATATCTGTTGTACTCTGCCAATTTTATTTAATGTCTGTAAAATGGAGAATTTTTTAAATACAATTTTATTTTAACATTACAGTTCAATTATATTAATTCAACAAATTGTAATTATTATGATTAACTAATATAAAACCTAAAACTAATAAAAAATAATATAGTTTAAAAGATTAAAACTTCTAAATTATAAAGATTAACTTACTGGTGCCATAGCTTCAGCCCACTCTCCATGGCCTTTTTGAAGCAACTTTATTCTTTCTAGATCACTGCATATTTGCACTAAATCACCTACTGAGAACTGTTGAGCTTGTTCATTTGAAGCTGAATTTGCAGTTTGTATAATTACCTGAAATTAATAAATATGGTATGATTATTTAGAAATTATTAACTTTTTAATTTAATTTTATCAACCTTGGTTAATACTGCTGGATTAAATGTCCATCTATTTCCACTGGGGTAGGATACAACAATGTCATGATCTTCATCGATTCCAACTACCGTACCAGTTGTTCCCAAACATTCAAACATTCCTTCTGTCCATCCACCATGTCCCAGTTGCAGTGACTGAACAATTTCCAACTCAAGATCTATATTTACCTATTAAGCGAATATAATCTTAATCTCTTATAATATCATTTTTAAAATTAAATGCATGTGGTTATTGGTTCAATGTTCTATCACTTCAAACTGTAATGAAATATATATTTCACAGTTGATGTTTTCCAACAATGAAAAACTCTTACTTGATCACCAATCTGAAGACCATGAGGACCTGACCTTCCTGGACCCTGTTCTCCAAGTAATGGCAAATGGTCTCTGTACACAGTTAAACCTTTAGCATCACTTGCAACCTAAATTTTTATATATTGAAAAGATTACATACAATTTTATTAAAATATTTATTTTCCAAATTATATTTAATTTTAACTTTAAAAATATATTTATAACTTTACCTTCAAATCAGCCATTCCTTCAAAACCAACTCTGTACAAATTTTTTGCACCATTATCCCATACAACATATGCTGCAGATCTAGGACTAGCTGCAGACCAATCCTGTATTTCATTAACTTTTCCTCTTCGACCATTACCACCATCCTGGTCTTCCCATTGCCAATCCACCTATTGGAATTATAATTATAAATAAAAAAATCAACTAAAATTGTACAATTTGTTGTTCTTCCATATTTTGCATTCATTTACTTTGAAACAAATTGCAATTAATTCATGATGTCTATGAAAAACTGATCAAAAAATTAATTTATTATTACAAATTTGATTACTTATTATTTAATCCCTTACCCCTCTTACAACCCTTGCACCAGGATATATGCCTCTAACAGTTATTTTCTTGCTCTTTCTTCTTGGTTCAAGTAAAACTCTTTCACAGCCTGGTGTTGAGATTCTATAAAATCTAAACAAATAAAAAAAATCATAAATAAAATAAATTAATTTATAGCAACCCAAACTGGATTCATTTACAATTAATGAATAAATATTAGTACACAATCTACGGTATGTTAGTTACAATCATTCAGTAATATTTATTGCTTGCCTATGTCTTAGTTGATGCTTATCCCCATGATAACATACAGAACATAAGTCATAGTTTCCACATTCAGCACATTTCCAACGAATACCTTAAATTCAAATTTAGATCAACACACATTTTTTGCAAATATCTTAATTTTTTTTAACCTATTTGTAACTTAAAATAGCAATTATTTTAATTAATTTAATTTGCGACTAATATATTTGAATACCAAATATAGGTTGCTGTCTGCATGTATCACACATTGTTCCATCATGCTTCACTTTGGTTGGAGCACTGTCAAAGATTCTCAAATCAAATGCACCTGAACACCTAATAAAAAATAGATTTAATTTATGTAGACTTATTATATGAAAAAAGATATTATTTTATTTTACCTATAATTAGCAGCTGTGCCATTATCCCAAACCACAACTACCTCTTCTGGAGATTCAAAATTCCTTACGGTTCCTACATGACCTTCTCCGCCATCCTTGAATAAAAATTGAATTAGACCATTCTTTAGATTTCACGTTATTTAATTGATGATTATTGTACTTATCTATATATAGCAATCAAGTAGAAGAGAAATTATATGCAAAAAACGTAAGATTTTTTTATAGAAGTCTTTGGTAAAGTAAGTAATTGTTGTTTACAGATTTCATATTATGAAATATACTTTACCATCATACAGTAATTAGAATCTTTAGTTGTTCAGTAAACATGTTTTATTAATTCGATCATGAGACATTTTTGGTAAAGATAAATAAGCTTATTATGTATAAATTAATCATAATACTAACAATTGAGCCATGATATAAATATTTTTTGGCCCATTAAAATTATATAAATTATTCTCATACTAATTTAATAATTTTTAACACCTGTTTGCCCCATTTCCAATCTGGCCCCCTAATAACTCTAGCTCCAACACCTTCCATCATGAATCTTGTAGCTCGAATTCCTTGAGCAGGAACGACAGCGGGCGTAACATCAACTAAAGGAGCAGAACAAGCCATTTTTTTATACGAATTTGTTCAATAATTATAATTAAATTTCATAAATAAATGAAAGTATTTCAAAAGCATATTTTAATCCAATCACACTTTTGACATTTTGTTGTAATACATTCCCTTGACAATACTGCAGGCATGCCAATATACAAAATTCTAAATCTTTATTGTTGGTCTGCGCATGCGTTCTGTCAACTAAAATTCATCGTCGGTTATCTTTTCCTTTAGCATTTATTTGGTTTTAAGCTGTGCTTGCGCGAGAGGTGTCTTTATCTTTATTAATAGACACCGCTAAGATATTAATTCTTTACTTTATATAAATTACATTAAGACACGATGGCTAAGCAACTTTACAAAGTCGGTAAGCATTAAAAATTTGGTAAAATTAATATAAGTATGTAGTTTATTGAAATTTTGATCTGTGCAATGTGAAAAACATGTGCTAACGTTATTTTGGTTATACGTATAATAAAATATTTGTACGACGTATTGTATAAAATAATTACACAACGCGTTAACAGGAATTTTGTTGTAAAATTTGATATTAAAAGTTTTGGATAATACAAATCGCTTTATTTTTTCTTTGTGAATATAATTTTACCGGTGCAATATTTATCATCATTATAAACATGCCATACATATATATAAATATATATATATATATATATATATATATATATATATATATTTCCATTGGTATGATATAAAACAAGCTCTTATTTCAGCTGATATGTCTCTGGCTGACTTCGGTCGCAGGGAAATCATGTTAGCTGAAAATGAAATGCCTGGCTTAATTGCTTGCCGTAAGAAGTATGGGCCACAAAAAGTCTTAAAAGGTGCTAGAATTGCTGGATGTTTACACATGACAATCCAAACTGCTGTTCTCATTGAAACTTTGGTCGAATTGGGAGCTGAGGTAAGTTGATTTAATCATTGTTTTTGCTGAGATCACTCAGTTTGAAAATGACCTCACGTTGAACATTTAAGTTTTTAAATAAATTAGTTCTGATGCATAAAACATAACATTTGTACTTAACATTTTAGTAACAAGATAACTTTATAGAAGATTTGAAAGGAAAGAATCCTTTTTATTTAGTAAAAGATTCAAAAGCCGATAATCAAGTTTAATCATTAATAATATTATTGGCGTGTTGAATACATGCATTCTGTATACTCCATTTAGAACAAATTTTAAACATTCTAATCTTTCTTCTATTTATCAATAAAAGATAAATAGTATTGTTTCAGTAGTCTAATTAAATATAGACATTATCCACTACTATAAAAATGTTATTTTTATCTCTAAGTCAGATGAAAAATATGTTTATTTCTATGACATTATGTAAATGATGAACTTGATGACCTCAAGTGATAACCGTTGACGTAAAAATACTCAGATTTTCTTGTGTCATTGTTATGAATATGAACTTGAACTTCTTTTATCTGTGTAAGGCAGATAACAATTTTATTTTTGGTACTTTTTTTTTGCATACAGTACGTCATATATAATGAAATATTTCAAACTGATTCTTTTTTTTTTCAGGTTCAATGGTCAAGTTGCAACATTTTCAGCACCCAAGATCATGCTGCAGCTGCAATTGCTGCATCAGGAGTACCAGTATATGCCTGGAAAGGTAATGGACTTAAAAAAAAAAAACATGCACAATTCAGCAACTATTGCTGAATGTTACAATTATTAGTAACTTTCTTGCACCATTATGGAGAATTCTAAAACAAGTTCCTTTTTTTTCAGGGGAAACTGAGGAGGAATTTATTTGGTGCATTGAGCAAACATTAGTATTCAAGGATGGACAGCCATTAAATATGATTTTGGATGATGGTGGTGAACTTGTGAACATAGTCCACAACAAATACCCTCAATATTTGAAAGGAATCAAAGGTAAAATATTCAAATAAAATATTTAATCTTTTACGCAACTACATTTTTACATTAAATGTAGGTGTCAGTGAAGAAACTACAACTGGTGTCCACAACCTGTATAAGATGATGAAGGATAACACTTTGACCTTGCCTTGCATAAATGTTAATGATTCTGTAACCAAGGTAATATGAATTTTCCTTAAGTTTGCTTCGTTTGTAACATTTAATCTTGCGGTACAAAATTCTAATCTTTACTATTATATTTCAGAGTAAATTTGACAATTTGTATGGTTGTCGTGAATCATTGATTGATGGAATCAAGAGAGCCACTGATGTCATGATTGCTGGTAAAGTTTGTGTTGTTGCTGGTTATGGAGATGTGGGTAAAGGCTGCGCACAAGCTTTGAGAGCTTTTGGTGGAAGAGTATTGGTTACTGAAATTGATCCAATTAATGCCCTTCAGGTAAATGATATAGAAAACTTTGAAATGGAAGTCTTCTTGAATAAAAAGAACGAATTTAAATTTTGTTTATGTACAGGCTGCAATGGAAGGATATGAAGTGACAACAATGGAGGATGCCAGTAAAGAAGCCCAAATTTTTGTAACAACAACTGGATGCAAAGATATTATTCGTGGTGAACATTTCATGAATATGAGAGATGATTCCATTGTTTGCAATATTGGTCATTTTGATTGTGAAGTTGATGTAGCTTGGTTAAACAAAAATGCTAAATGCAAAGTCAACATTAAACCTCAAGTTGACAGGTAAAATTATTAAAATGAAGACTGAGTCTTTTTCGTATACGCCTGTATTAATCAAAAATGTATCACTTTTTTATAGGTATGAACTTTCAACTGGAGCCCATATAATATTATTGGCAGAAGGACGACTTGTCAACTTAGGATGTGCAATGGGACATCCTAGCTTTGTTATGTCAAACTCTTTCACAAATCAAGTTTTAGCTCAAATTGAATTATGGACAAAACCAGGACAATATGCAGTTGGTGTACACATGTTACCCAAAAAACTTGATGAGGAAGTAGCAGCTTTACACTTAAATCATTTAGGAGTTAAATTGACTAAACTCACTCCAAGTCAAGCAGCTTACATAAATGTGCCTGTTGATGGTCCATTCAAACCTGATCATTATCGTTACTAAATTTTATTTTAGATGTAAAATTCTCATTGAATATAAGTCTAAAATACTGCATACTAAAAAATGTAAAAAATATTTTTAAATTGATTTTTAATTTGAATAGAATAAATTTTAATAATATATTCGTAGTCTTGTCAATATTATTCACTATTACACATTTTTATTTATATTGTTCTTATGTAAATTCCCTGCATTATCTGCTAAACAAACTGCAAAATTTTTATACCATCATAAAAATTTGATGAAATGTAAATCAGATGTTCTATAGATCAGTAAGTTTTATTACCAAAATAGAACTGATTTCTATATAAAAAATGGAAAACTATATTCATAAATGATATATAATATATGTATATATAAATATATTACGAAACCTTGCATCCATCAGCTTGTGTAATAGTAATTGTGTCAGGATTTTTAAAAGCGCCAGCTTGTAAAATTGAATTGACCACTGCCCTAGCTAAATAACCAGTAGTAACTTCATAAGATGTTGCAAAAAAATCATCTGCATTATTTGGTCCGTCTTCACCATTATCCTGTAACCATTATATTGTAAGGACTCACATGCATGCACACCCACACGCATACAATTATTACAACTTACCTTAAAATACATTTGTGAGGCCTCCATCACAAGTTGATCAAGATCAAGCATTTTATGGAAGCATAGTTCAGGATTCCTGCATAATATAGTTGAAACAATGCACAGCAACTCTACAATAACTTGCCTGTACTCTGGACGTTGTATGCTATTAAGCATTTGTTCAACCAAGAGAGCAAAATTTAATTCAGATCTGCTCTGATTAGAAAGTGTCGGCTGTTGAGGTATCTCATAGCCCTGAAAAAAAAAATACAACAATTGGTAAACTCTTAAAAGTGCAATTAAAAATAGCAAGTAAACACTACAAACCTTAACAGTTAAACCAAGACTGGTTCTTGATAAAACATCCCACACATTGCTATAAAAATGTTGTGGCACTCTACATAAGCAACCTTCCAACTGTCTTTGCTGCAATGTGGTCAATTTTTCTTTATCGGCCCAATCTCGAATTGTTAAAACCTGTAAAAAAGTGATATTTTTAAATACTTATTTGAAAAACTTTTGGAATAATGAAAAGCTTCTACCAAATCTAATTAATATCTTTTAATATAATATTATATATACTTTGTCATGTGAGTTCTTAACAGAGTTATAAATGCATGGAGTATATATAAAATATCTAAAACCTTAATTCAAATATTGCAAGTTTCTTATTAATCTAATATACTTACTTTATGCAGTAATTGTCGTACATGATATGGCGAATAATTATCTAAAGGGTTGTTCTTCAATTCACTTTTTTTATCTCTTTCTGCTTCTGATTTTTGAATGTCGGAGATTTCCAAATAAATCTTCATTGCTTCTAGGACCCAGCCGACTCGTATTTTCAAAATTCCTTTAAAAACTTGAGGATTAGTAGCAATTAATCGCCCACAATATAGTACGACTTCTTGTTGTAACACCGCCTGGGTCATATCGTAAGGTTGGATTGTATTGTATATAACACTGGCAATTTCACTGGGCGTCATTGGTTTATCAAACACTGTTTCTTTATGGCCAATTACACCGACTGTAATCTGAAAATAAGTTTAAACATTGGTTGAAAACCTAATCTACATTGTGTGAAAATAGTAAAGAATTAATTAAATTATTACCTGTTTGCCCTTAACTAAAACAGCTGTTATAAAAGGACTAATTGAATCTACAGTATATTTCAATAAACTGCTACAATATCGAACTGCCCTCCAATATCGAAGACTACCAGCCTGATGATATAAAGTAGTCAGCAAACTCTGAACACTTGAACCTCTAACTTCAAATTCAGTACCTTCTCGTTTCAAAAGTATTGCTAAAAGTTGACACTTTGCCATTATACTAGTTGTGTTACACAATTTTTCAATTACATCCTGGTTAGACACATTTGTGTAATCCTGAAACATAAGAAGGCCTTATTAAGCCTACGAATTTGCTTTATATAAACATATTTATTATGATATATACCATATATGAAAGAGGATCTTCTGCATAAGATTCTGCTCTTGGAACATCTGTTAAACTCTGATAGCCTATGTAATCGTGATCAACCTGGCTAAAAGATACGCAATCTTCAGGAAGATCGGTGTCGCTCAAAAAGTCTAAATGTTCTGCAGGGAAAATAAACAAAGCTTAATATGACTACTAGGTACTCTCTTTCACCTTCTAATAAGTGCTCAAAAAATGTTTGAACAAAAAGATGTGAGAAAAGTATTTTTCCTATTAATACCCCTTACAAAAAGGCATCTGCTACTATAATCTTTAAATAACGTTTTAAAATATTATTACTTTATCAATGTGGTTTTTAGGATAAACAGTCGTCCTACATAGAAATAATAAATGTAAACCTGTGCAAGATGTAGATATTAAGTTTTGCAATCTTCCAATCCTTACTTTCACACCGTCGCAAAAACCTTTTTTCAGCATAGCAAATAAATCTAACATTTCTTTAAACTGCGGATCACGCATATGTTCTTCTCGAATCAATAAACACACCGTAGGCCTTCCAGATAATCTGCCAATAAAAAATGAAATTTAGAATTAAAGCACACATTTTTAACATAACATTAATTTACCTCCAGTAACGCCCAACAAATTTTAATTCAGTTTTTATATCATCGATAAGTAAAGCCATATCTCTGTACAAATAAAACTCAGAAACTTCAAAAATTAATGGATAGCACAAGACGGACATTCCGCATACCCTATAAATCTGAAAAAAATATTCATCTGATATAATTTAATAATCTTATTGATATAAAGAATTTAATTACTTTGCTTGTTCCTAGAGAACCAATAGGTCTGTTTGGCCTTCCAGTTAATTTTAATTTATCATTAACACCCAATTGTTGATAAACATTTACAAGTTGAGTTGATGACCAAATTTGAACAGGTTCTACTTCGTGAGGAGTTTGAGTCTGAATGCCATACGTAGCCATCATTGCTTGCAATCTCATAGATTCGGCTATTAAAACTATTTGTACCACTAAATCGGTTGCGGTTCCCTAAACAAAAACAAAAGAAACTAAAACTTATAAAATGCATCATTAGCTAAAATAATAAACTGTTTCCCATGTACCTGAAAGGCGCTATATCGCCCACTCTTTCTAGGTCTATTATAACTTGGCAGATATCTTCGAATGGGGTCTAATTCGTTTATATGGAGCAAGCCAGTGATTAACAATTGTGATATAATATACATTGATTGACCCCAAAGGAATAAAATATTTTTTGAATCGCTTACTTGCCAATGTTCAGATTCAGGATTTTTGGACTTTATTGGTTGAAAGAAACGAGGGAGAATTGGATCTAAAAGTATAAAGGAAAGTATTAGTTATGACATCCCAATAAGCAATAAATCATTATATATCGTAGTCTCACCATTATTATCATCTCGATACACACAACTCTTTACTAAATTCTGATATTCTACAATTTCACATTGATTATTTCGGAAAACAGCATCCACCAACATATAGCAAAAGAATATTGGCCATTGACATTCGAGACCATCAAATTCTTTAACTTCTCCGGGATTGTAATACCTATTTTAATGATTTAATTTATTTGAGAAACAATATAGCATATTAATCATATATAAAAAGTGAAGAAATGCGAAAACAATGATTGACGGTTTTTTGTTGTCGAATTTTTGTAAAGTATCAGAAGTATCAGTGTTTGCTATTGTATAAAAGTACATTGTTTTTCACTATGGTCAGAATATCCTTGGATTAAATATATCTAGTTTATATTATTTACCTTCTATCAGGATCTTCTAAAATGCATTTATAACCATCACGGCTAAATCTTTTAAACCCATATTTGCCTTTTAATCGTAAAAGTATATTAGACCTAGTTTTGTCCACTAGTTCTTCCTCGTGTGATGCAAAAGCAGGAAAGCTTAAAGTTGGTATCAAAGAAGAATCGATCGTCTAAAAGTCCAACAATTTTAAACTATTTTTCATTTGAAATTACAATATTATATTTTACTTTTGAACTGGATTCTCTCGGTAGAATTGTCTCAAAAATACTTCGATTTCGATTGTGCGCATCTATGTCCACATAAATAACGCTCCAGGCAGCACCTTTTTCGCCAAATAAATTGCAACCGTTTATTGCTTCTAAAGCGGCCTTGGCCATACCTATGGATAATTGGTATGGTTCAAAATAAATTGCTAAAAAATAGTTCAAAATAAGAAAAAGTAAGCTGTTATTGACCTATGGATGATGCATGTATTTCCGGTTTTCCATCGTTATATTTGGTTCCTCGTTCCCACATCCCATAATCTGGAGTTCTGTAAGCTCTTTCTACATAATAAACTAAGTTTTGAACAAATGCAACCTCATCCTATAATTAAAGAACAAAATTAAAATGAAAGATATTTTTTTTAATTCTCAAGGATGCTAATGATACAAATTAAAAATGGTATTTCTAAAATAAAACCTTACAATATGGTTTTAATGTTAAGTACCTTTCATTCGTACCTTGAAAACTGTTATCTAAATCATTGCAAAAAATCTCTTTTAAAATATTTGAACTATTTTGATTAAAAGACTGCAGTCCATAAATACTGCTGGATAACATAAAAATGATAAAATATATATTTTATTACTAACCTGTGTGTATACTATCTGCAAACCCGAAGAAATCATCTGAACCAAAAATATTAAATATAGAGAAACCACATCAATTTGAAGATGATGGTATTCATCATCATTATAAATAGGTTCTCCAGTTTGCAGATGAAATTTACAATGTAAAGCATAGGTCTCACATTGATTACTTTTGAATTGTTCAACTCTATTTGCTTGTTTAATCCAGCATTCCAGAATCCCTCGCATGCATTTGACTGCACATTGGCCTAATTCATAAGATTTTCCTAAGTCATCATCTATTCTTCTAGAATATGAGAATGGCCATTGCATATATAAATTTATTTTAATGACCGCTATGTTCAGTATTTGAAAATATACAATATATTATTATATATTGATAGTTAGAAGTCGATAAACTTTTTTATCAAAAAAAAATTTCAAAAGTTTTTGCAGGACGATTATCTGTATATTGAATATCAACAAACACCTTGTAAAATAAATAATATAGATCTATAACCTTTGTATTTGTATTTTTCTAAATAAATTAATTCTTAATTCATTAAATCGTTATCATATTAAAATAGCTTTGCTTTATCATTGTTCTTGTGGCCAAATTTAACAGATATAGAATAATCTATACAAAAAATTAACCTTCTATTTTAAAATACAAAATATAATTAATTAGTAGTTGGTACTTTGTCCAAATAACTATTTCTAGAGTGCAAATTAATAAAACTGGTTGAATTATACCTAAAGAAAATGGATACGAATTGTCTATAGGAGTATCGAAATTACTACATTTTATTCAAAAATAATAGCTGCAGCAAACTACTACAAATTGTTTATCAAAAAAAATCTTTTAAAAGAATGCAAGATTTTACTTTACCAAAGTGACTCTGAATTACATGATTTATTGTAAATATATCAATAGATTAATATATTAATAAGTATAACTGAATATCTTTATTATCTAACTAATAAATCAAATTATAGAATCTATGTATATTTGAGAAGTAAATTGTAAAATTCAAAATTACCGCAATAATTAAACAATTCCTAGCATAGATAAAACAAGTATAATAAGTCCTAGAATAAATAGTCCTAGTAACAAGTAATAAACAATAATTTCAAGAATCGAATCTTGAAATATAAATCATTCTATTAATTTTGTTAACAACAAAAATGCTCAGAATTTAAATATGCATTAAATTAATTGTAAAATATTATTTTAAATTACCTGTAAGCCTGATACAAACTCCAAACTGCTGCAGCAGAATAAATGGAGTCCCTAACACTACCTTCAATTTTTTCTCCAGATAGTATAGGAAATAGTCCCGATGTTGGGCTTTGATATCTTAATATTTGTCTTTTAACTAAAATAACATTTGCAAAACATCAGAAAACAAACAGATTTTATGAATTTTAAAAATATTTAACTTACCAATTCCATAATAAGAATCTAAAGTTTTTACTGTGTCCTCATAATTATTAATTTTTAAGAATTGATCGGAATGCATGTCTTCTAAACTCAAGGGCTGAGAATTCCTGAAATAAATATTTGTCTCAAATAATTTTTCATTCAAAAATATAAAATAATTTTATGTTTTAATTTACATACCTCAATAAATTATTTGTACAACTCATCTTCAATTAATAATAACTTAAAGATTATTAGAGAATAAATGATTTCTTAGCCATTTTTTTAAATTATTACTCAGATATTTTTATTTAATAGAAAAGTACAATATAACCTAAAAATTAAGAATTAATTGATTTGTATGGTGTAAAGTAAAGCAATTAAATATTTTAATCTTCTTTGACAGATCATCACGTTCATCTCTTTGACAGGGAACGTCAAAACTAATTGACCATCTTCAGATCAATTTTTAAATTAACGGAAAAAAGAATTCAAATTTAAATATTTGAATTAATAAATGGAAAATCGAAGGTATTTATGAATTAATTAATGAAATCTTGAAACAAAAACTTTAATAGTTATTTCTAATTTCTTATTTACTACATATCAAACATATCTTATTTTAACTCCAAATTATTTTTGAAGATGATAGTTACATTCGAGCATTGTTATATCTTCTTTTTTTATATAATTCAAGAGAAAAAAAAATGAAGTTGAAAATATTTCAAATTTGTATAACTATATTAATTTGTACCAGTGGGTTGACCTAATATAAATATACGTATAAATGTGATGATCCTGAAAATTGTAATATTTTGTAATAAATTGTCATTGATTTTTCTTTAACTTAATAAAATATTTTTATCTTTCCATCTCTGATAAAAATATCGACAGTGATTTCCGAGTATATTTTCGAACGAATGAACGAATAATTTTAAATCTTAGTTTTCCAATTTGAAATTCGCGCTCTCGACGTTATGTCACATTTCACTTCTTCTATGGGGCCGGCCATCTTGGTGTACACATGTCATGGAGATTTTGATGAATGATTCACGTGTGTTAATTAATTAGCGTTTTTAATTAAATTTTCAAATTAGATTTAATTAATTTATATATCAATTTGTTATATTAATTATGTAGATCAATTTGATGTAAAATATGTTAATGATAATTTGTGCCTATAAAAGATATGTGCCGAAGTACTTAGGGGTTAGATTAATGACATTTATGAAGGTTTTTAATGGGCCTTCTAATTTATATTGTAATCGAATACTTTATTTACAGATTCCAATGTATCCTTTAGTAATATTCATATATACAATTATCAAATATATGGTGTATGTATTTGCGATTCTGAAGACTGAAAGTACTTCTGCATATTTTTTGAAGTAAAACTTCTTTAGGCGCGATATGGGTGTAAAAATTTTTAGGCGCGACACGGGTGTAAATCCGTACAAATGCAACGAAAATGCCAACGTGTAGTTGAACACTACGACGCCGTAAGCGCTGATGTCGCGAGTATCCACTCCCGTCATGTCATGCGTAAGTCGAGCGCTAAACCCTATATGAACTTGCATTAATTGAATCACGTTTTTTATGTTATGTCCTCATGGAATAAGACTTTTCTTAGAGAATAAATGTGCCATGGAATATAATAAATTTATATTGAATCTCGTTGAAGACAAAATAATATCTACTGCCACGGATATTTATGTAGGTTGCCATGCGACAGATCAACAATCATACATTCGTCAGCAGTTTCAAAAAATCGGTTATTGATACCGGGGCTTTGCCGTATGAAATAATTTTAGTTCTGAATAAATTTTACATAATAACAACTAATATTGATGTAAGTGATGGCTTAGCTAATGGTTGTGTGGGAAAATTAGTGTACATAGAACGTGGCGATAATGATGAACTTCTACGTTTATGGTTTGAATTTCCCGGTAAGATAGGTAACAAAATTAGGAAGAAAGCTTCACATCATATTCAAACTCTTAATATCAGTAGGACAGCTGTGCCGATGCTCAGGAGATCTTATTATTATTGATGTTATGTGATTATTAAAAGATGATTTTTAAAATTCAAATATGATGTTTTTTTTATTTTTATCTTAATTGCCTACTCATACAATATTAAAAGTTTTACTTCAATCGCGTGTGATCCTTACGCGCACTCTTTTTAATGATCTTTCGTTTTGGAATAAGTTGCATTCCCAAAATATGTTAATATAGTAATGCAGTTTTTTTTAAATTATTACGATTTATTCACCAAAGTCTCTAATGCGTGCGTCGCGACGTGTGTTGAGCAAAGACTCCACTTGGACATTTGAAAATTATAAATTAAGTGAATTGAAAGTAATCTAGTAAATATGAAATAGTGTTTTCGAAGCAGTGATCTTTGGTGTTCTCGAAGCAACCTAGCTTTAGGATTGCAAGCAGTTTCTTCGAGGGATCAATGTGAGTTAAAGCAATTTTTTTACAAAACGTGTCATGGAATACTTTACTGATGTGTACATGCATTCATCAAATAATAAATAAATACTTTGTTATGTTTTATAACATATTAAATATTTAACATATCATTTTTCATTATTATTTAATAATCATAATATTATTTAAAAAAACAATGTTGTTAGATACAGATAGATACTTATAGTAAACAAAAATATATAACTGCTGATTGTATAATGTAAATTATAATAAAAGCCGAAAGACGAGAGTAAATAAAGTTTATCCACACACACTTATTAAAATCACATTCTGTTTTAAAGATAATTAGGCAAAGGACCAAGTATTTCCTAATCCAAGCAAATTTAATACAAATGTAAATAATCTTAATTTTTTTGTTTAATGAAATTATTCAGAGAAATCAAACTAAGAAAACTGATGACGGCTATCGTTTTGCTCTTTACATTTAATACATTTGTCATTTTCAATTATTTTAAAAGTCTTATTCTTACATCAAAAACTTTTAGATATTTTCTACTAAAAAGCCGGTTTCGAATGTCATAATTTAAAATAAAACTATAATAAATCTAAGCCTAATCACAATTTTAAAGGGATTTGCACAATTCAAAATAGTCTGTATGTACATATTTCAGTGAGATATTTTCTGACTCATTCATGCTCATGCATCTGCTGAAATTAATTCTGTTTGATAATTTATTTGTTTCAAGTAATTACATTGTAATACCATTACTACAAAGGCTTTGAGCAAAATATTGAATCCTTACTTTTATTATTAATGATTCAGTTCATATTGTAGTTATCTTATTTAAATACAGTTCATATATTATTCTTAACAAAGTTTAACTATCTAATTCATTGTTTTTGAAATTATAGTAATGAATATTTTGCTTTTTCTTTTTGTATTATGAGCATTATTGCGACTACTTTAGCAGATGTATGTGTAACAGTTTTTGAATATCACTTGTAATTTCAAATTGGCAAGTGATGTTTGATAAACAAGAAAATCATTTTACCTATTTATTATGGGGAAAACATATTGATTCATTTTTTATTTACTACTTATTTAAACATATTCAATGCTATGTGTTCTAACTAAATGCGACAAAGACATGAAAATTAATTTGTTTTTTATTATAATTGTAACAGTCAATCTTATCACAATATATTATTATCCTTTATTGGAATATTTATATATTTTATTTTGTGTCTGAATGATTATGAATTTTTGTTCTAAAATTAGTTGGTTTTGTTACCTTTATTTTGATTATCCATTCATTCAAGTGCTGAGATATATTCCTGCAAATTTGCTTCCACGATGCATATTGTAACATGAGCAAATGTTAGCATGTGTACTTATAAAACCTATTTTATATTTAGATCAAACTCTTGTTCTGAATATTATAATTGTGCTATATCATATTGACAGAAAAAATAGCTCAAGCTTTTCCTTACTTTATCGAAAGCCTGCTTCATGACTGAATAATATTCTTTATTCTACAAAGTTTTGTAAACATTATTTGCTATTTTATGTCAATGAATTTATTACATTTCTAGCATCAAGAATCATGTGTTTTCCCTATAGCAATATTTAATACATGCATGCATTGTCTTATTATTAATATGATTACAAGTTTTGATCAAAATATGTAAAAGACTCGACTAGGCTTTGCAAACTGTTAATTAATTACATCTACATATACATATATTTTTTTGAATTTATTACACGTTGATTTCAATTTGCCTAATTAATTTTATATTTAAATAAGTATAATTTTCTACATATTTTTTATTATTTACATTTTATGTTAACATACTAGAATATATATTATAATAAACATGTTTTTTACAAAGTCCTATATATATATATATATATATATATATATATATATATATTATTAAATGACATTGGATTTGTAGAGTTTCAAACAAGAATCCAAAAAGTAATAAAAAACAAAAAAAGTTTTTTAATAAACTATTTGTTTCTTTATTTATTTATTTACTGTCGACGTTTTGGAACTAGGTACGTTCTATCTTCAGGACATCTGTCAAGAAACATGATCTTGATGAGATTTAAGCAAACAATATCAATAATTTAAGTATTCACATCCAAACATATAAAAACACACACACATCCTTACAGTTCCCAAGTGGTCACTCGTGTGCGTGTGACTCAGAATCAGTTTATTACAAACAGCCGATCTCATAACATCTAGAGGATAATATTGTTTGGTTTTCAAATAATACTTTTCAAAAAAGACAGAACTTATAGTAATTTTGATTTACAAAATTTACCTATTCGGCTGAAAAATAACTCATAAATTCAATTTTTGTTAAAAGCTTTTTTAGTGAAAAAGTGCTAACGTATACTCAAACATACAGGTAATTAATTCAATTTTGTCATTAACCTTTTCTTAAAATTTTCCATAACTTTTAAAAAAAAAATATCATTTTTAATATCCTGTTATATAATCCACTCAATTATTTTTATCATTTTCATTTTGTTCATATTATCATATTTATTTCATATTCATTATCATATTTTTGTACATTATTATTTTTTCAACTAATTTATTAATTAAAAAATCCATTTTCTTTTCTTAAACATATTGTTTGCTTAAATCTCATCAAGATCATG